GCAAATCCCATGTCACTGTCTCTAAAGGACAGACTTTCTTCTGAATCATCCTGTCATTATTGTACAAGAAGAATGACATTAGCCCTTGCAGCAGTCAGCAGGGTTACAGGTGATGTACTGGGGCAACCCTACCCACAAAGATCAACTCTAGTGACATAGCCACCATGGTTCACTCACCATGGAATCAAGGTACAAGTCCTACTCCAGGCAGTCGAGTTGACATTCCCATGTACTGCTGACGGGGTGCTGCTCTGTCAAGACATGCTGCCTTGCTGATGGGATGGTAAACCAAAATCCACATTTCCCTCTCCGATGGATGTAAAAGATTCCTTGTCACGATTTAAAAGCAGCACACGGGTATTATTCCCAGTGTCTAGATCAATATTTCACCCTCAATCAACATTTGCAATTGTCACATTTGACCAAGTGTGACATCAAGGAACCCTAGTAAATAATTCACTCAAGCTGGTGTCAGGCAGAATTCAAAACAGGTCACACAAGCCCCTTCGTTCCTCCATTTTATCCTAACTTTAGGAGGCAATATCCATATATAAAAACTTTCATACTTGTAACAGCATCACACAAAAGAAGACTATTGATTGTGAACACATGCTTTGTGTTTCGTGCATTACAATAGTCACTGAATTTTGAAGGTACGTCATTGGCTGTAAAAGAATCTTTGGGAAGTCCCAAGGTCACGTACAGTGCTATGTGAATGCTAGTCTTTGTTTACTCTCAGTTGAATTTGCAATATCATTTTTGTTGTCCATCTGAAATTTGTAAAGCTTCTTTGCTGGGACCGGGGATACCCAGAGCTTGTTAATATCAAAAGCATGAGATCTGTGCAAACAGGATGTTCAATGTTGATTTTGGGCACTATGTTTTGTAAGAAGCTTCATGGTATAAACATAACCCATGAAGATTATAAAGCACTACTCCACCCAGCTATAGCTAGTACAAACTTGAAGCTCATCAGATGGAGTGAGATAGCACTTTCTTTCAGCTCCTATGAAAATAAGTCAGTTCTGCAAAGTATCATCAGAAAATGTATTTCTGCCTTCAGTATTTACATAAAATTATTTTATTGTACACCAGACTCAAAGTTAACATACAGCTACACCAAACAATTAGGAAAGCAAAGGTTATTTGGTCTTTTGGAATTGGAGTGCTAGTGTAATTAAGTCATTCAGCAATCATACACAGCTTGAGCAAGATTATGCAGGGAGTAGTGTGCACAATTTTGCATCCTGGCACCTAAAGAAGAATATAACTTGCCTTCAACGGGATGCAGTGGAGGTGCATCAGATGGATTCCTCAAATGGGGGTCATCCTATGAGAAGAGATTGAGTAGAGTGGGCCTGTTTCTGGCATTTAGAAGATTGAGTGGTGAACTTTAGCAAGCTTCTTAGAGAATTGATGCTGAGAGACTTTTTCCCTCTGGATGGAGAGTCTAGAACTAGGGGTCACAGTCACAGAATAGGTAGTTGGTCATTTTGGACTACGGTGAAGAGAAATTTCTTCATTCAGAGGGTTGTAGATCTTTGGAATCTGGTATGCTGGGGAAGAGTGAATACATAATCATTAATATATTCAAAGTTGATATTGCTAGATTTTTAGACCTAATGGGAATCAAGGGATATGGGATCAGGTAGGAAATCAGAGTCGAGGTTGAATATCAGTACTGATCTTATTGAACAGCTGAGCAAGCTCAAGGGGAAGGATGGCATACTTCTGCTCTGATTTACTATATTCCCCTGTATAATATACTCCAGCCTGTTGTTATTGTTTGTTTCCCACAGACTTGTCTGGGTGATACCTATATGTGACACTGGGATGAAGGGGGTTTTCACAAGAGGCTAATGCTGGAGTTGGAGAAAGTTTCATGAGTAGGGAGTTTGTTGGGCTTTGAGGGAAGGGGGCTGTTCCAGAGCTAGGGAAGGGTAAGGCTGCTCTTCCCTGGGATACCGAATTCCAACGATCTACAACCCTCTGAATGAAGAAATTTCTCTTCACCACAGTCCAAAATGACCAACCACTTATTCTGAGACTGTGACCCCTAGTTCTAAACTCTCTAGCCAGGGGAAAACAGTGTCTCAGCGTCTATCCTGTCAGTCCACTCAAGCTTTCTAGAGTTCACTACTTATTCTTCTCAATGCCAGAAACAGGCCCACTCAATCTCTTCTCAAGATGACCCTCATTTCAGGAATCCATCTAATGCACCTCCACTGCACCTCTTCGAAAGCAAGTGATATTCTTCTTTAGGTACTGGGATGCAAAATTGTGCACAGTACTCCCTGCATGGTCTTGCCCAAACCATGTATGATTGCTGAATGACTTAATTACACTAGCACTCTAATTCCAAATAACCTTTGCTTTCCTAATTGTTTGGTGTAGCTGTATGTTAAATTTATTTAAACATGAGATGATTTTTAGCTGAGGCATCAAGGGTCCACAATCCGATCTAGATCATCAAGGCTGAGAGTAGTGAATTAAATGGCTACAGTGTGAGATAGAATATGGGTGGTCAATTGTGACATTGTGCAAATCCAAATAGATCATTTTGTGATGAAGAGAATATAGGGTTGAAAGCCCAGCTTAGGTAAATGTTTGCTTCATATCTCACACTTGTTTTCACTATGAGAAGTGTTGGAAGGATTAGCAGGCTGTTTATCAATCTGTTGACTCATGCCATGAATGAACCTTCCATGGTCAACAAATCCTGGAGTGAACTTAAACCTGGAACATGTTAGGCACAGAGGCTACCTACTGAGCCATGTGATCTCCCTGGTAGGCAAATAGAAGACTGAGATTGCAAACAGTCTGGTTCAGCCTGAGTGTGTGTAGAATGGAGTTATTAGCAAACACAAAGAGCTTGTGGTGGTGGACAATACTTTTGGTCTTCCAGTTTTCTCCAGCTAAACATTGGGAACAGAAGGCAATGTTTCAGCTGTCATGGTTATGACGGATAAGTACAAATGCAGCTAGGTAAAGGTAATTCACTGGAACTAAAAAAAGAAGAGGTGTGGTTAGAGGAAAATGGCCTGGTCAACTGTTTCAAAGGCTGCAGAGTTTGAGAAAGATAGGAGGAGTAACGTGCCAATGTTGTAGAGACTTGTTTCTAACTGTAATTAGAGTAGCTTGAGCGGTTGACCAACCAGTACTTCTTAGATGTGTGTAATGGAATGCTGTTCCTAGCTGCAGAAATGTATTTTGTAGGCAGGTCTTGAGATGTCCAAATCCCAGGGCTCAGCAGTTGCAGGAGTCCTCAAGCTGACCCTTTTGGGTGGTAGTTAGTGTTGCCTCAAATTCCACCAACAGTGGAATTTGCAATTCTTCATTCATGCTGTATGCTTACATGAGCTTCTTCCTGAGATCCATCATATAGTTCCTATGATTTTTAATTTAATTTTGAATCTACTGATTGTCACTATAAACTAAGAGTATTGTGAGGTGCTTGGTTAAGGTTGATCATTGTATTCTGACACCACCTTCTCTTGGACACCTAAAGGAAAAGAACAATAGCATATTTATGAGTGTTGGCTATAAGATGTGAGTAAAACTCTAGTAAAATACAGCTTTACATGGCAAAGCAACGTTATGTTTTTTGATGCAGTGCTTGCCTTTGTGCAAGTGAATGGATGCACGTGAGAAGTCATGATATAATAGTAATGCTGTGAAGTTGGAGGTAAGTCACTGATTTGTATCTGACAATCTCCTGTTATCTTCATTCAGCCGTGCTGGTTAAGTGCATCCTACTCCTGTAAACAGGTAGAATAGGGACAGATGCTCGAATGAGAAGAAACTGTTCTTATGTGACAGCCATGCCCTCCAGATAACCAAAAACACTTCACAGCCAATGGATTACTTTCATAGTACACAATATTTTTTTCCAGGCATGAACAGCAACCAGTGTACACAGAGCAAGATCCCAGCTACAGCAAATGAGCAAATACACAAGAGAACAGTTAATCTGTTTTTGGTAGATTTGGTTGGGAGGAATGATGGTCAAGACACTAAGAGCACTCTTTGTTCTTCTTCAAATAGTGCAATGGAATCTTTTGCAATCCACCTGCATAGTTGGATATCTAACATCACATTTGAAATATAGGACCCCTGAAAAATCAGTGTTAATATAGTTAATTATTATAAAAATATAATATATAAAAATAACATTTATATTTAATACCTGTGGGGTTTCTCCAGTTGTGTTTGTTGTTACTGCAGTTGATATTCTCAAATCAAGGAATACATAATGTGTATGTGACACAAGTATTCAGAGGCAACCACTTTGAGATTGCATAAACATGCAACATGCAGTTATTGTGCGTGGAATCTCTAAGAGTTTTGTGGGCGTCTTGTGTGCTGCCTGAAAATGTGTTGAGACACACACACTGACTCTCAGGAAGAAGGCCCAGCACATCTTCTGCCCATTAGGCTCTTAAGAAGACAGAAGTGGGAACTTTCTCAGTGATGCTTAAATTGAATTTTATTAAGATGCTTGTAAGACAATTCTTTTATGCAAAGTGTCAGCAAACTTTGGCAGCCTTGCATATACCAGAAAATACTACCTAGTGATGGGCCACAGGTCAGATAGCAGTCACTCGATCAGTGATCTTCATTCAGGCTACCCTGGCAGGATTCAAAATGATTTGTCCTTATAATTAACACTTATAAAGTACCATTATTGAACGGTATTGTACTGCCGTTGTGCTTTGCTTTTGCCATGTTTTAAATTTGCAGCCAGTTCCCTTTTAAAGATCAGCAGTCTTTTAAGAGCTGTTGCTGATTAACCTGCACCCCCAACCCATGTGTGCTTCAAGCATACCATGTGCTATATGCCAGGAGTACAGAACAACTGTACACTTAAATTAAGATTGCATAAAGTCAGCGCAGTGCAGCACAGCATCTGAAGCCCAACAATCCAACACCTGTTGCAAGTAGTCCACAGAATAAGTCAGAAAAAAAATTCATTTTGAGAAGCAAAAATAAAAGAGCATTTATTTTGAATTAAATGTACTTTATTGATGGAACTTTATTGATACATATAGCAAGCTCCAGATCTCTGGTATGAATAATCACCCTTCAGTGATCAACCTTTAGTAATGACCTGAAAAATAAAACATGATTAACATGATTATTGAAGACATATTCATTGTTTCTGCAACCTTTGTCCTTCCAATTGTGTTTGATTAAATTAGCTGCCACTCATAACTTTGCCTCACATTGGCTTTAGAGATGTGTGCAGTGCGATTAATTTAAATACAATTTCTGCAGGCCTTCATCTCACTTGCTTCTGACTTGTCAGTTTTGAATTATTAGGTCTGCTACACTTTTGCAAACAGTCTCCAACCTACATATTTTATGTGATGTTTAGACATTCATGAAAAAAGTTTAAATTATGTGGATTTTAGCCCATTTGATCTCATTTTCAGAATACCATCTACAACAACTAGTTTGCAAATTAGCCCATTGTTCTGGCCTTAACACTCTTTCTTGTAACCCCACGCTAGCTGTTCATTGATCTGTGTGACCTTAAACCTCTCTATAAATAGTAATGTGACAGGAACTATCATTAGGACTACACACCATTAAGTGCTCCACATTGTGTTGCACTATTCGAGATAGTGGCGCATTGAAGCGAATGACTGAGGTGAGTCTAGCCTCCAGAAAATCGTCTGGGGATGTTAATTGAATCCTGCCTGGCATTGCTGTGTGGTCAACAGTTTTAAAGTGTAATTGAGGTTAAAAATTTGACTGATTTTATCTGAATAGAGATAGATATTGGTGATTTAAATCTGAATTGGATACTTTTTAAAGCAAATCTATATATTTAAAGAGTGCTGTTGTATTTTGAAATATTTTTACAATAATTAAAAATCTTAACTCACTTCATTGATCCAATCTATCTCAGCTGAGACACGGGTCCAGACTGTTGGTTTCATGTAGAACCTACATCCTCCTGCGTAGATGAAACTGGTCACTCCATGAACATAGAACTTCCCACCTTGCTCACAGTTCAGAGGACCACCCGAATCTCCCTGTGAGAGAAAGAAGAGAAATTCCATTGGCCCTGTTGAAATATGGGACAGAAAGCATGGCACAGATTGAGTCAAACCCACATTGCATGTGTAATCAATCCCTTTGGTTAGACCCTTGACATGTGACTCTTATACCTATCATGTTATTCCAGCCATTTGATCTGTCACCACACTACCTTATTTTTAATTTTTTGTAATTATCTCCCTGCCTCATTTAATCGGATTATAGGTCATCCCTTCGCTTGATATTCAGCTGTTGACACTTTCTACTCACACTATCTGACACTCTCTTGATCATCTGCAGAGACCTATTATTCAGCCTGTTGACATTCGACTCACACTATTTGTGTGATTTTTTTGATTTCTCTGTCCATTGATCTCTCTGCCTATAAATTCTGTGCCTGTGTGCTTCTCTCTCTCTTCACCTGACGAAGGGGCAACACTCCGAAAGCTTGTGATTTCAAATAAACCTGTTGGACTATAACCTTGTGTTGGGTGACTTCTGACCTTGCCAACCCCAGTCCAACACCAGCACCTTCACATCATTATCCTGACATAAGTTGTATCCTGCTCATTTCATTTCCTGAGAGAAGGTTGTCTCTAAATACTCCCTCAATCTGTAGAGAGTGAAACAACGTTAACATTTCAGGTCAACGATCTTTATGTTGATCATGTTCAGACAAAGGGTTACAGCCCTGAAATGTTTCTCTCACCATAAATGTTGCCACCTACTGTGTATTTTCAGCATTGTTTGTTTTCATGATTGAGTATTCCAGGTCAGGTTTAGCAACGATACAGATTAGCATTAGTCAGAATTTGCAGGCTTCTGTTTGTTTACCTGCTTTTGCTCACTTCTTTAATATACTGTTCTTGTGCTCAGGTAGCGCCAGAGTATTCCAAAAATACATTTTTGTACTTATAGCTGTGTGCAGCTATGAGCAGCAATGTGACCACATGATCCTTGCACTGTATCTCTAGCAATTTGATACATCAAACAAGTATTGGCAAAGGAACCATTGTCCCAGTATTTTAGCAGTTGAACCAGCTTTTGACCAAGGCCACCATCAGCAATTCATACTGACATCTTTTATTTACATTTAGGCTGCGTATTAGCGCTTACTGACAAATAAAATGCCTACTAGTCACTGCCTGAAGGCCGCCCCCTTGAATGTAGCAGGAATATCATCGCACATCAGATCATTTTCAGTATACATGCAGCTGTTAAATCGTATGCCTGCCGGTTTGGCACTTGTGTGTAGACAGCTCCTTCTTAACATGTTTTGAAATCTGTTACCCAGAGGTATGCAAGTGCTTCAGTTCTTAAGGATGAGATAATCTGCCATTACCCACCAGAAATTATGCATGTAAATTGCACTGCATTTATACAGAATATTAGATACTGAAGTTATAAAATCAAATAAAGTAAGGATATGCAACAAACTTGTATACTAGTAGGACTAGTGCAAAAATACTGGAGAGAATGATGCAAATTGTGAGACAGTCATGTAAAATATGCTACAAACAGAGGCGGTGGGGGTGGTTGAGGGAAGGAAGGTTGTTGCAGAATAACAAGGAGAACAGTACTAGGGACTAATGAAGCTCTCCTTGCCTAAAGCTGATGAGTAGGATTCTGTTTCAGTCACATAGACGCTGAATTCCAGAGTGCAGTTGCGGTCTTTATCCTGGCAAGAGGGACATGTGTGAGTGCCAAAGCTCCTAGAATCTCAGTGGCTTTTACATTTATCACAATATACATATGAGAAGCTCTGGAGGAATTGAAATGAGGAGGAATTTCTTCTCTCAATAGTGAAACTATGGAATTCTTTACCAGAGAGCTGTTGAGGCTGGATCGTGGGGTATATTCAAGGCTGAGATAGACAGATGTTTGATCATCAAGGGAATCAGGGGTTATTTGGAAAATGCGGGAAAGTGGAATTGAGGATTATCAGATCAGCCATGACCTCACTGAATGGCAGAGCAGACTCGATGACTGTAAGACCATAAGATATAGGAGAGAATTAGGCCATTCAGCACATGGAGTCTGCTCTAGCATTTGATCATGGCTGAGATGTTTCTCAACCCCATTCTCCTGCCTTCTCCCCATAAACTTTGATCCGTTTATTAATCAAAAGACAATGGCCAAGTGGTAATTTCACTGGACTATTAATCCAGATACCCAGGTAATGTTCTGGTGACCTAGGATTAAATCCCATCATGGCAGGTGGTGGAATTTGAATTCAATAAAAATCTGGAATTAAGAGTCTAATGATAGAACATAAGAACTAGGAGCAGGAGTAGGCCATCTGGCCTTCGAGCCCACTCTGCCATTCGATAAGATCATGGCTGATCTTTTCATGGCCTCCACCTCACTTACGCACCCTCTCACCATAACCCTTAATTCCTTTACTGTTCAAAACAATTATCTTAGCTTTAAAAGCATTCAATGAGGAAGCCGCAACTACTTCACTGGGCAGGAAATTCCACAGATTCACAACTCTTTGGGTGAAGAAGTTCCTCCTCAGTTTGGTTAACCAATTAACTCCTCAATTAACCAATCCTGTATCCATGCTAATACACAGCTCTTAATGCTGTGCACCTTCATCTTATGCGGCAGCCTTTTGTGGGGCACCTTGTTGAATGCCTTTTGGAAATATAGATACACCACATCTACTGTGTCCCCGTTGTCTACCGCACTTGTAATGTCTTCATAGAATTCCAGTAAATTTAATTAAACACGACCTGCCCTTCATGAACTCATGCTGTGTCTGGCAAATGGGACAATTTCTATCTAGATGTCTTGCTATTAGAACATAGAACTGTACAGCACACTACAGGCCCTTTGGCCCACGATGTTGTGCCAAATATATTTCTTCCTTGATGATAGATTCAAGCATTTTCCCCCACTACAGAAGTTAAGCTAACTGGCCTATAATTCCTCATCTTTTGTCTACCTCCCTTTTTGAACAGTGGCATCGCATTTGCTGTTATCCAATATGCTGGAACTGCCCCAGAGTCCAGCAAATTTTGGAAAATTACCACGAGTGCATTTCCTATTTCTCTTGCAATCTCTTTCAGTACCTTGGGATGCATTCCGTCAGGGCCAAGAGACTTGCATATCTTTAGCTCCGTTAGCTTGCCCAACACTAACTCTTTCATGATAATGATTGTTTCTAGGTCCTCACCTACCTTAGTTTCCTTGTCATCAATTCCTGGCATGTTATTCGTATCCTCCATTGTGAAGACCAACACAAAATACCTGTTCAATGCCTCGGCTATTTCCTCATTTCCCATTATTAAATCCCCCTTCTCATCCTCTAAAGGATCAATGTTTACCTTAGCCACTCTTTCTTTTTATATAGTTGTAGAAACTTTTGCAATCTGTCTTTTGTGACAATAAACTAGCTCAGAATATAATCTATCTTCCTTTTCTTTATAGCATTTTTGTGGCTTTCTGTTGACCTCTTAAAGTTTTCCCAATCTTCTAGTTTCCCACTGGTCTTTGCCACTTTGTATGCCTTATCTTTCAATCTGTTTGCCTCCAATATCTCCTTAGGCATCCATGGCTGATTACCCCTTTTTCTACGGTCCTTCCTTTTCACTGGTATATACTTTTGCTGAGCACTTTGAAAAATTGCTTTGAAAGTCCTCCACTGTTCCACAACTGTCCCACCATAAAGTCTTTGCTTCCAGTCTACTTTAGTCAACTTCTTCCTCATCCTATTGTAGTTTCCTTTGTTTAAGCACAGGACCCTGGTATTAGATTTTATCTGCTCACTTTCCATCTGTATTCTAAATTCAACTATACTGTGATCGCTCCTTCCAAGAGGATCCCTAACTATGAGACCATTAATTATTCCTGTCTCCTTACACAGGACCAGATTTAGGATAGCTTGCTCCCTCATCGGTTCCATTACATTACTGTTCAAGTAAACTATCGCAAATACATTCAATGAATTCCTCCTCAAGGCTACCTTGAGCAACCTGGTTTGACCAATCGACATGTAGATTAAAATCCCCCATGATAATTGCTATGTCATTTTCACAGGCATTAGTTATTTCAATGATGACCATGGAACCATTGTTGACTGTTGGGGGAAAAAACCCATCTGTTTCACTAATGTCCTTTAGGGAAGGGAACTGCCAGTGTTACCTGGTCTGGCCTACATGTGACTCCAGACCCACAGCAGCTGACTCTTAACTACCCTTTAGGCAACTAGGGATGGGCAATAAATACTGGCCTAGCCAATGATGCCCTCATCCCATTAGGGCATCACAATCTATTTTTAATCCATTATTAGATTTAAAAGAAAAATAACCTATCACTCAATGACTTGGCCCCCACAGCCTTCTCGGCAATGAGTTCCACAGATTCACGACCCTCTGATTGGAGAAATTCCTCCTCATCTCAGTTCTAAAGGGTCATCCTTCACTCTGAGGCTGTGCCCTCAGGTCCTAGTCTCTCCCACCTGTGTAAAAATCTTCTCCATGCCCACTCTATCCAGGCCTCTCAGTATTCTCTTGTATCCTAACCCTCTTGAAATGAAGGCTAACATTGCATTTGCCTTCCTAGCTGCCAACTGAACCTGCATGTTAACCTGAAGAGAATCCTGAACCAGGACTCCCAAGTCCCCTTGTTCTTCAGATTTCCAAAGCCTTTCCCATTTAGAAGATAGTCTATGCCTCTATTCTTCCTAGCAAAGTGCATAACTTCACACTTTCCCACATTGTATTCAATCTTCCACTTATTTGCCCACTGTCTTAGCGTATTCAAGTCCTTCTGCAGCTTCCCCACTTCCTCAACACTGCCTGTCTTTCCACCTATCTTTGAGTCATCTGCAAACGTAGCACCAATCCCCTCAGTTCCTTCATTCAGATTGTTAATGTATAATGTGAATAGTTGTTGTCCCAAAACTGACCCCTGCGGATCACTACTAGTCACTGGCTGCCATCTTGAAAAAGAACCCTTTAACCCCACTCTCTGTCTTCTGCCAGTCAGCCAATCCTCTATTCATGCCAGTACTTTGCCCCTAAAACCCTGGGCTTTTATCTTTATTTAGTAGCCTCCTGTGCAGCACCTTGTCAAATGCCTTCTAGAAATCCAAATAGATCACATCCACTGGCTCTCCTTTGTCTAACTTGC